CATATATATATACGTAATGTGTATATGTATATATATATATATATATATATATATATATATATATATATATTATATATATATATATATATATATATATATATATATATATATATATATATATATATATATATATATATATATATATGTAATGTATATATACATTACTGTAGTGTCCACCCAGAACTTGTATAAGAAACGTGTCGTCCAGTGTAGGTTCACAAGATGTTTCCCAGTACTTGATACCCATTGGTCTATCAATAATATGGGCTATCCCAGTTCTAGTCAAAGTCAAAAATAAGTAAATTTGTTTTCGGTTCTAGCTGCATTGTTTTGCTCCTTCCTTCCTGTGAGGTACCCAGGCTTGGGTGCATAGCAAACCCTTTTATTGATCACAAATAACCTCTAGGGGTTATACAAAAATCATGCTTATCAGAAAAATATGTTTTCTTTTTGTCTTTTAAGGATAGCCATAAACCTTGGAGAAATAGTTCCATTTTATTTAACACTCTTCTATTGGTTACAAATTTTTGTAATATACATGAATATTACTACTGGAACACAATAATTTCCATATGTACAGAAATAAGATTCGTTGTTTGTATGATAACATAAGACTTTATAATTCTTAACCTCAAACTTTTTTGTAATTTAGACTAGTTAACTTGAAACGGACCAACAGACTAACAGGCTGAACGAGCGAGGACAACATCTAATGACTGGATAACAATACTGACACAACAGGTAATTTGCTCCATGGTTCTGCTGCTCTCTCACACTGTTATGAGGTCAGTCAATAATGAAGAGTCCACATTGCAGAATTTTATGGCTTATAAATTATTGATTCTATACATGTAAGATGACTGACCATTCTTCTGATGGCTTCACCAGCAAACTCCTTCTAACCCAGCTGCCCTCAGAAGATGAATTCTTTGCAGAAGAAGGTGAATTACAAAATTAAAGTACTGTACAATTATGGATATATATATATGTATATATATACACACAAATCAGCAAAGATGCATTGACAACTGAAATGCCTTAGAATAGTATTGCAGGCAAGTTGGATAATCCATGACTTTATTATTTCACTCTATAAATATAATGAAACATGGAAGGCACTTTTTCTATGCAATGTATGTTTCAATACTGATGGTCATATTGTGCTTTTTGCATTTTTGTTAAAACTACCTAACCCAACATAGTTACATCAGCAACTGCCAGGGTGTAAATGCAAACTGAAAATGGACTTGTGCACCAATAACAAGACTTTGTAGAGGTGATGTGCTGTTGCACCTGCTAAATTTAACATTAGAGAAAGTTTAAAATTAGAGTAGAGTAATTTTCATTAAAAATCATTAGGAATAATAGCCATGTCTTTTCATGCATAAAATATGAATGTCACTTTACTCTGATAACAAGTTTAAAAATATAAATTATAAGTCAGACAATCTTATATGCACTCACATGGTTTTAGAACCTAGTTATTGTCAATTTACAAACCTCTTTCTATACTCAAAACTAAAATTGAGCATAAGCACAGCACTATTGGGTTCTGCTAACAAACATGCTCAACCATATTTATGTCTCTTTCTAATGAAAAGATATTGTGGATATAGTTTATTTGTCTAATAGCAAAAATAATATTTTTCCAGAAGTATTCAACATTAATCCCAGTAGTGAAGGAAACAAACTGACAAACATTTTGCAAGATTACAAACCACTGATTGTTCAAGCTACTCCCTACCCGTTAAAGGTCAACACAAAACAACCATTGGTTACAACAGTAATAAGTTGCGTGGTTAGACAACCATAAGTTCATAGCTTCACAACAAATGACATTTTGAACTGTTGAAAAGGTGTGAAATACATAACAATAACATTTGTAAATAAAAGGCATGCACAGATGAGTTCACATAAATGAGAATAATCTGAGAGGCAAACTGGGCCATACAACTTTGTTTAGACATACCTTAGTACTTCCTGTGATGTACATTTCCCACTATAATGCACGTATCATATACTGCTTATGATATCAACAGCAGCAAATGAACCTTAACTCTGTTACACAAGGAAGAACATAAACCTATCCATTCATCCTCCACAAAATATTTATTTGATTTATGCAACTCCAAACAATGAAAAAGCTGTTTTTTTTCTATTGTTGCACATAGAACACATAGAATTCACTGTATTGCATTTTAGGAGGAATAAGACATGGATATCTTGGATAGGGAAACATAAACAAGAGAACCCTTTAATAACAACACTGGTCACATAGCTTTGTGGTTATAAATAACATTTGACACATTGCAAAGACCACACATTTTAAAAAGCATCCATAATAGGTGTGAAGGAGAAGTACTGTTCAGAGCATTCATGGGCAGTCAGTTTTAGTTCAGTAGCACTTGGTCAAAAAGTTTTAAAAGTGGGAGACGAAAATGGTGGTTTGGCAATAGTTCATAAAAAGTGTCCAAAACCTTGTCAGCCGAAAGTTGCAGCAAGACTGGCTAACAATGCATTAAATCTTTAAGGATTTCACAAAACACGAGCATTCAGTCACGTTCAATACACATGGGCCTTCAGAAGTGATCGACTAAGACAGACACGCAGTTAGCGCCCACATGTGATGAATGTGGAGCATCGGCCAGAGACATGTTGGTCCACTGCGTTGGCTGGCCGGTGGGCGTATCAGAAGACTTAAGAGCGAAACTCCAGGTGTTAGGGGACACGGAGGCAGCGTGAGGGAGTCGCAGCTCAACAGGTCGCTTGAACTGGAGACCATGAGGGCCGCACATCACCAGAGGACTGAGTAGAGTCTCACCTGCAAAATTTTTAGAGTCAAGTATTACGCCATTGATCTTTGGGAGAAAGATGTGCTTGCAAATGAAGTCTGCAATTAAAGAGAAAAGATTATCTTTTTGAAATTAAAGCAGGAATATAAACAATGCATGATTTCCTAACATGCTCACAATTCACTCAGCACTAATGATAAAAATATATTTATACACTATAAAAAAGCACTGATTGGATATTACAAAAGTGTAAAGAAGCATTAGCAAAATTCATATTCTAAATAAAAATGTGTATTTTAACTTTTCTACTGAGGAAACCCAAAGCAATTATTTCAATTTTAAATCTTTTGAAACTTGGTGAAAAAAAATCACAGTCAATATTCTGTGGTTATCATTTTTATACCAAAGATAACAAGAAAAACAACTATGAAGTCATTGAATGCTTAGAAAACTTCTGTTTGAAAATGTAAATAATAATGTGACAAATGGGTTACTACATACCATGTCTACATGAAGAAAAAAATCAAATAATATAAATTATTTCATTATCAATCCCTAAACTTTATGCATAAATGTGCAAAAAGACCCATTCCAATATTCAACCAGTTCACACTTCAACAGCCATGAGACATTACAAATTTTACATGACTAAAATTGAAAACATTACATTATCAATACTTCACCTTATTAAAGGGAGAGAGTAAATAAGGCACAGATGAAAATAAACAAACTTTCAGAATTTACTTCACATAAATCATCTCTTGGAAATAGATCTTTTAACGATGATGTAGCTCTCTGATTTCTTAGAATATAAATTTTACTGATATCAGGGAAAGCAACTTATAGCTCATGGTGAGAAGTCTTTAAGTGAATATATACATGATGTAATATTTTCAGTTCCAGCTATGGTTTTCCCCTCAAGGAATACATAAGCCCGGATGGCAAGAATACATTCCAAGCCTACAGTAATATAAGTCCATTCATTGTCTTTACACAGAGATGGGTCTACAAGTTCTTAGTCTCCAAGGAGTCACTTATTAGTCCTACCTATCTCATTTGTTTACCATTTTCCATGATTTTTGGAAAGCTTCTTTTGTATTATCTTATTGTCTTTAATGTTATTAATATCTTAATAACAATATCTTACAAACAATTTAATAATCATAATATCAATACAGATAATAACATTATCAAAATAGTATTAGAAGGAAAACACATTTTCCCACTATTTCAGGGAAGGGCAAAATCAGGCACAGTCACTTGGGACTCCTTGGTGGCTGAGTATGTGTGGAGCCATCTACATGTAACAAGATTCACAAAAAAATTACCATGGATAGTACATAAATCCACAGTTATTGGGTAATACCTACTTTGAAAAAGCACCATCTGGTGAATTAACAACTTTAAAACCTTTTTCTTTGTTCTTTCAATGAAGAAGATTTCATAATTGCTGTATCCAAATGAAATCCAGTCTATAACCTGAACTGAAGTCCTACTGTCAATGCATTAATATCATCATTATTCTGAATGAACTAAATCTATAATACACATTTGCCTTATTCATATATATTGCTAGCTGATATAGGGAAGTTATGAAGAGAATGAACAAATTCCTAATCCAAAAGATGTAACAGACACATATCATTATTACTGCTCCATCACAATTACATGTCGATGAAGAAATTACAACCAAATGTGTTGGTTACATCTCTTGAACTGTGAAATTATTCACATTGAAT